TTTTTCCAAATCCCATTTTAATCTCACAAGAACTCAACAAGCCGCAGGAACACCCTAATCCCAGCAGCAATAATCTTCAACCTCAACTTCCCTAAAACCCATATTCTTAAACCTGGAAACGCCTTAAATAAACCCAAGGACCAGGATACTTCCTCAAACCTGCAGGATACTTCCTCAAACCTGGATCCACCCTTGATCACCTTGAGCAGGGTCATCTTACTAAAGCACACAAGCAAGGTCGCAGCAAATTTCCAAGGCAAGTCCATTTAACATGGGGTACACTGGCAAGGATTACGATGCGTCATACCTACTTGGTAATGGCCCTCAGCAGGGGTGAGTATGGGGAGGCACCGAGCTTGTGGCTCATCGCCAAGCACACTCCCTTGAAGTTGGGTCTGGATGTCTCACTCCACCTCCGACAGTGGACTTCTGGGAGGCAGAATGTCATTCAAACCTCTTCTGACCCTCTTCTCCCCAGCACCCAGCCCAGGTACAACGAGAACCCTATCACATGGCGAAATTCTGCAGAAATGTCAGTATGAAGTCAGAGTCGATATTAAAATATAACAACTAAAGGTTTCCCAAGGGTCCAGCCAGTAATGGATCAATAAGAACTTTCGATACATGCCAATGATTATTATATGGCCATTAAAAATCAGGCTGGCTTTGGTTAAGCGTGTGAGAAGATGTCTACAACACAACATGAAGGGGACAGTTACAGCAGGGCTGTGAAGGAATTGTCCTCGTGTACTGGCATGCCATGTAGGGATATTTTGTCTTAGACTGAACAAAAGGCAGGAGGAACTATTGGTAGGATTGTAAATTAGTACAACCACTGTAAAAATTAATATGGAGATTCCTCAAAAAACTAGGTGTGGAACCACCGTGTGACCCAGGTCTAGCACTCCTCAGTATTTATACAAAAGAATTAAAGTCATCATGACGTAGTGGTCCATGCTCACCCATGTTGACAGCAGCACAATTCACAATAGCCAAACCATAGAACCAGCCTAGGTGTCTTCAGCAAGTGAGTAGATAAAGAAAATGTGGGGTATACACACCATGGAGTGTTACTGAGCCATAAAAAAGAAGTTGTGTCATTTGCAGGAAAAGGGATGGACCTGGATAACCTTACGTTAAGTGACATAAGGCTGACTCCACAGGGTGGTATGTTTCCTCTCCCATGTGTAAGGTAGAGAGACAAAGGGGGGACAGCCAGGGGACCAGCAGAGGGGGGAAGGGAATGAGGGGAGGGAGAAGGGGAGGAAGGGGGAGGAACTGGGTATGAAACTGACCAAATTATGTTCATGTAGGAATACGTCTCAATGAAGCCCACTACTGTATACAGTTATAACACCAATAAGAAGARGATGATCTTTTGTTGTTGTTCAGTAAATGTTGGGCAGGGTGTTTGTTTATACGCAGTGCTGAGAATCGAACCCAGTGCCTCACACATGCTGGCAAGCGCTCTGCCATTGAGCCCCAGCCCCAGCCCCAGAAGAGGATTTAAAAAAAAAATCAGGCAGGTGGGGTAAGAGGAGTAGGGTCTGACTCCCTAGATAGCCATGGGTTAAACATGGGATTTGTTTTGCGAGACCAGTTATTATCCAGCAATTGTCCAAGGATGAGTCACACTGGTCTACTAAGGCTGTTAATTACCTGACCGCCAGGTTTTAATTTTATTTTTGTTTCTTGATTGTACATACTTCAGTGGTGAATGTTTTCCTTGATTATTGCTTTCAAAACCTGGTTAATGAAGTGCTTGGGATAAATTCCCAGGGAAAGGAGGGCTGAGTCGAAGGTACTCAATAAAAAAATTCTCTGGGCCCCTAGCTAGGTATGGCCAAGTTGTTTTACTTTTTTAGAAATTTGAGTCATATTTTTAGTTTAGAAATTACAAAAGAGTAAGCCAGATATGCTGTCAGATGCCTGGGATCTCAGCTACTTGAGAGGTTGAGGTAGGAAGATCATAAGTTTGAGATCTTGACTCAAAATTTAAAAAAAAAAAGAAAAAAAAAAGGGCTGGGGATGTCTCTCAGTGGCAGAGTACCTCTGGGTTCAACTTCTAGTAAGGGGAGAGAGAGAGAGAGAGAGAGAGAGAGAGAGAGAG